AAACCAAACCAAACCAAACCAAACCAAACCAAACCAAACCAAACCAAACCAAACCAAACCAAACCAAACCAAACCAAACCAAACCAAACCAAACCAAACCAAACCAAACCAAACCAAACCAAACCAAACCAAACCAAACCAAACCAAACCAAACCAAACCAAACCAAACCAAACCAAACCAAACCAAACCAAACCAAACCAAACCAAACCAAACCAAACCAAACCAAACCAAACCAACAAACCAACCAACCAACAAACAAACAAACAAATAAATAAATAAATAAATAAATAAATATTTTTATTTATTTTATTTATTCATTCATTCAATTTATACCCCGCCCCGCCCCCAGACAGAGTCTACTTGGAGCGGCTTACAAAAAAAAATCATAAAGTATCACTGAATGACAATTAAAAAAACATCCCCATCGCAATCACAATCATCATCAGAGGCCATCATAATCCTAAAACATGTAAACAATAATATAGTATGATCAAGATGGAAATGAAAGAACAGAGAGATATAATAAATGAATAAATAGAAGAAATGAGGCAGGTGAAGTAAGTAAGTAAGCAACTAAGTAAGTAAGTAAGTAAGTAAGTAAGTAAGTAGATGAAGAGGCTTGAAGAAGATGATTTATTATCGAAAGCTCGCTCTTTGGGTTTTTTTGTTTGTTTGTTTTTTCCTTTTTTGTTTTATATTCTTCATGGGCAATTAAAGGGATCACCTACTCCGGAATTTGCATTCTGTGCTAATAGATACACCAGCCCTGCACGATCCATTGAAAGGCTGCTTTCCCTGTGCCATGAAATTAAACTAGAAAGCCTCTATTATCTTTTTTTTTTCAGGTCAAAGACTCACATTACAGGAAGAGGGGTGGGGGAAAGCACGTATTCAACAGCCTCCAGGAAGAGGAGCAGCGCTTTCGCTTTTGAATTCCCAGAAATGTCAAACGGATAAGTTGCTGGTCCTGCTCTGTGTGATGTTTTCCTTTCTTTCTTTTCCATCAGAGGCACAGCTTCCCAAAACCGAACTTGGAAACCCTTCGTTCTTCCCTCTGGAGACCATCCAGGAAAGGAAAACGCAGGGAAGGAGAGAAAAGAGAGGACGCAGCTGGAATTGGGGGTAAAAAATGTGTGAATGTTGAGCCGATCCGAAGCGGCTGTCCGGGGCCGCCAGCGACGGGTAGAAGTTAAAAAAACTCCGGGACCGGAGGAGGTCGACAGGAGGACCATTTTTTTCCCCCCTGGACTCATCGGCTGGATGGAATCCAAAAATTCCCGAGAACTTCCATATTTGAGATCATGGCTCTAGTAAGTCTTTGGTGAACTTTGTTCCTTCCCTCCAGGCACTGCAGGGGTTAACAAGGACATCTGTGGGGGGGGGATGGGGATGGGGGAACATGGACCATAGAGGTTGCCACGATATCTGGCTGTCAGCTGATCATTGCCTTGGGGAACAGGGAAAGGGAACTGAGTAGAGAGTTCCTTAGACAGCTGGGTGCCTACTGGAAAGGAGGCCGTCTCTTCTTTCCAGTAGGAAATGAAACTAGACAGACAGGTGTCAAATCTTTTTTTTTTTTTTTTGATGCTTGGCAATGGGACAGACTTTTCCAGGGCACCTGGGTCGCTTAGCAGGAAGAAAGCTTAGGGAGGGGGTCCATGACTCTCTCAGCACCCTCCCTCCAGCATCTTCCCACCTGGGGTGAACCCATGTCCTCTTTTTATTGGCACGCGTGGTAGATCCCATCGTCCCCGTTGGCCAACGGGAGCTTGCAGAGTTGAGCTTGAATGACTTCGGAAGGGGATCGGACAACCTGGGAGGCCCACCTCTGTCTACTCTCTAGGGTGGCCGTAGATGACCTCCGGTAGCCAAAGCAGAAGGCGGATCCTGAGAAAACGCACGATGGACAGGGTTGGTGGACTCATTTCCTTCTCCAGAGGCAACAGAATTCTGAGCCAGGATGAATCCACTATGGCAGGAGTTCCCAGCCTTGGTCTCCAGATCTGCTTGGACTACGGCTCCCAGAAATCCTGGCCAGCACAGCTGGGGTGGAAGGCTTTTGGGAGATTTAGTCCAAGAACATCTGGTGACCTACGGTTGGGAAGGATGGGTAAGGATCTTACTGGATCTTTATTAATAAGATGGATCCATATGGCTAGGGAAGGAACTGCAATGGGTCAATGGGCACAGCTGAATTTTCAGGTTCTGCTTACAGTGGGGTCTTGACTTAAGAACAGCTTGAGTTGAGAACATTTTGACTTAAGAATCACTCTCATAGGAAAATATTGACTTGACTTACATACTTAGATTTGAGTTAAGAACTGAAAAAACCATGTGGGAGGCAGGGAAAGTGCAAAATTTGAACTTTCACTTAACTGTTGGCCAGTGAAAAGGGTGCCTGTCTGCTTCCTCAGTCCTCCCAGCGTTTAGAGAGTGGATTGGGAGACAGTCTTCGGACTGCCTGGTACTGCCTGGACTGTATTTTCCCTGCCTTCCCTGAACCTTTCTTGACCTAAGAAAAAAAGAAACAAAATATCCCCCTCTAGTGGTCGAAGGCAGAATAGCAGCTTCCCATTAGTTTCTATGGACGGAAAAGAGCAGATACGGATCAAATGGTTTTCAATGCATTCCTATGGGAAATGCAGATTTGACCTGAGAACTTTTTGACTTGAGAACCGCCTTCCAATACGGATTAAGTTCTCAAGTCAAGACCCCACTGTATTTGATTCTGGCTTCCTAATATCTTAATGACAGGAGATTGAAAGTGAAAATGTTTAAAAGGATGGTCTTTTGTCATCACAAAGACTACTAGCTTTTGTCTCTTTGGGAGAATCGAAGGCGATGCTTTCTGCGGTAACGAAAAGACATTGCCACACAAATTTGCAAAACAGCAAATTAAGTTTCACTGATCCATCCAAGTATGGATTGAGTAAAATATGTCTGATTAAGCAACTATTTCTGAACTCTCTCTGGAGGCAGAAATGTTGAAACTGAGGCTGTCCTGCTTTTTGGGCACCACACGAGAAGGCAGGATTCTTTGGACAAGACGATAATGCTGGGAAAAGTGGAAGGCAGCAGGAAAAGAGGAAGACCAGATATGAGATGGATTGACTCCCCCACAGGAAGCCACAGGCTTGAGTTTGCAGGAGCTAAGAAAGGCTCTTAAGAACTCTACACTTTTGGAGATCACTCGTTTATGGGATCGCCATAAATCAGAGGTGACTTGATGGCACATCACAACAACAAGAAGGAACTAGCTATGTGCAGTCCCCTGTATATAGTCATAGCAACAAACTCAGATAGGATCAACAGTTTTTTATTCCTGGGTCAATGAGTAAAAGGCTGCCTATGTAAAGTCTTTTAATTTGATTGCTTCCAGGGAATCAAAATGTTGTTTTTAATGCAGGACAGGAAATATGGTGTGTTCTTTCAGGATGATGGAAATTCCCAACACTTGGTGTTCCTCAGAAAATTTCTGCCCTTTGGGCAGCTGAAATCATCAATTCCTGACAGTATGTCTCTGCAGATCTAGAATTTCCTTCAGCTCAAAACCACACACCATTTCCACAACAACAAAAGGGGTTGGGTGCACCCCATGGTGTACATGTATGTGTACATGTATGTGCCGGTCTCTTTGTTTCTGTGTCAAAAACATATTTAAAAAAATTGCAAACTGTTCTCTATGTATCCTGGCCTTTAGTTTGGCTAGAATAGGAAACGTCACTCTTACTCCCACATAGTGTAGAAGTTAGATGTTCTTTTGTTGTGGTGGAAATATTGTGTGGTTTTGAGTAACGGGGGAGTATAATCTTTTCTTCTTCAACTCTTGTGTGGTTCAGTGAAGGTCACAGGTGTTGATTGGCTAGTACCAGTGACGTCTGCAGTGGGACGTGACAATCTTCTTCTCTCTGTCATTTGGGGTACTTTTAACTATTATCACAGATATGATAATCATCATGATCATAACCATGAAAAATGACAGCTTTTAGAATCATGAACACACCACTGCTGTGAAGCAAGAGAGTGATGCAAGACTACTGCCCTACTTACAGAGGTTGGGAAATACATTTTTTAAAATTACAAATCACATAATCCCTGTGGTCATGCTGGTTGGGGAATTCTGGATGTTGTTGTCAGAGAGAGAGAGAGAAGAGGGAGAGGTGCCACCTTCTCCCTTTTCTGATCCAAACTCTGCATCCAGTGTACCACCTGTAAATCAAATGGGAAATTTGATTGGCCCTACCAGATGGGAAATCAAGTATACGAGCAATCTCAAAAAAGTAACAATAGATTCTACAGACTTCCCCTGTTCTCATTCTCTCTCTGCCACGTACACAGTGTAAGAGGAAGGGATCCCAGGGGGCAAGGGAGAGTGGAAAAACTGGGCAGCCAGCTGAAGGATGCTGTTTGGCCCAGAGACCAGTTCTAGCAGAAGGAACCTCTCCTTCCCAGCCATCCAACCAGATCCTATTCTGCAGGGACCCTATGAAGGACTTGGGG